AACAAACTCATCCTTGTTAATGATATTGTACATAAATGTTCTTTACTGCAAATACTATAGACGCCATCTTAAAATGACCCACCACCTGTAGGCATCCCGGGTAGGAATGTTAAAGGTCACATGCAACCAAAAAATCAAACATAATTAAAATACAATTATCACTTATTCATGACATATAATATACATTGCTGGTTACGAAAAAATATGTAAACAAAATTATAAGCGTACAATCGCAAATCGAAAGTGCAAAATTGTGTACTTCGGTTTACTTCCCAAGAAAAAGAAGCAGCCGGGATACCGAACCCAGTCAGAGCGGGTGGGTGTGCACTCAAGTGTAACGGCTGGTTCATTTGCAGATGCCTTCACGGCTAATTGTGTGTATATATAGAGAGATGTTGGGTTTTGTAAATACATGCTCATTTTTTGTGTATAACATTTTGCAATCAACAGACATCATAACATGTCATGTGTACAAGTATCACACCTGCCTGTCTGTGTAATTACATAATGTGACAGAGATCGAACTCGGGCCATAAATCAATGCATTTTGTTTATGGTGTATAGCCTGATTGGTGTTAAGTTCAAATTGCATGTGGTCAGTGATAGCAGCTGTGTATTGAATATTGTCCTTAGCAGACAGGCAGGTAGACACACAGGTGTCAATAAAACAAGACATTGAGTTTTGTCTGTGACAACGACATATCTGTATCACAGTTAGAAATTCTGTCAACGCTAAATAATGACATTGCTTTTAAGTATCGAACTGAGAAAGTGTCTCGGTAAGAAGAACGTGTGGTGAAATAGACAACTGAAATTATATAAACAGTTAATTTACTGTCATAACATATAAAAAAGCTCACGCCTGTGAGATATCAACAAAACATTAGAAAAATAGCTCACACCAAAGCCTTCACCGAGTATTCACCCGACAACCCGCTTCCAAGGTGCGCGAACCTATTTACTTGCGCACGTGCTATGAGCGCAGCCCAGCTGTTGAAACCCGTTTTCCCCAGAAAAGTCTGGGGAAAATTAGTGAAACGTTTGAACTCCGATTTCGCGCGTTATTTTTCATCGCGTTATTTTTCAACTTTATAAGTTGAATTTGCATTTTTGACGATTTGTTTCGGTATGTCCATACAAAAAGGTATCAGAATCTGCAAAGTTGTGTTTTACGTTGCATGTGACCTTTAAGGAACCGATACTTGTGGCATGAATCAAGCATGTTTTTTACTTGGTTCATTGCATATCCCTATTGCATGCATCGAGATAGTTTCTTTCGCGAAATTGTTAAGTAAGGGCTTCATGATACATTCACCGCCTTCAACTGCGGCTTTAATTAGATGGAAACAATCTGTTTGAAGTGTCAATTAATTTAGATTCAGGTATTCACATTTCTGTTGACATACACGATTTTTTGAGTCCATTAGTTTCTGCATGCGTGTATACAATATATTATTGGTGGTTTGTATCTCACTATGGCCATCATTTCAGTTCTAGTTTTGTCAGTGCGTGTGGGTTTCCTTTAACGATATATACGCTGATATTTCATTTTGTGATAAAATGCAAGGAATAAATACGTAGAAACGTAATCACTTATGCAGTTACATATTTTGTATCGCATTTTCTTCTATGCAATAAGAGCAGTAGATTACATCCTTCCCGTCAATAAATCTGACATTGACGATATCCGAGCACAAACCACAAGCCCGAATCCAAAAAGGTGTCACTCCAGTATTCAAGCAGATGTGTGACCACCTTGTCTACATCAACGGAAAGCGTCAACCCAGCAACAGTCATGAAGCGCTGATCCTGGTTGAGTGGTTGTTTGATACTCTGAGGGGATATGAAACACTGTCATGTGTCTACATGAAAGTATGCATTCCCTGAAGAAGAGTATAAAATGTCCGTTTGATATGTAGACCTTAGTTATTCTTTAACATTCTAAATATTTGTGTCACACTGTTCTCATAACCATTTTATGGGAGATTAAAGTATTAAAGCATACAACTGTACAAAAAGAAAAATCACAATTCGGAATAAATGCATTGTGGACATCTTTATTTCAGTTCTGAGTCTAACATTCTCTCATAGACTTTCATGGTTTATAGCTCCCAACAAACATGTTTCTGTGAACACATACATGTGGAATACACACTCCATACATCGCTGTACTACTTCAAAAACAATTTGGAACCTAAAGGTTATTATAAGGAATGGTTCGCCCTCTTGTTACCTTGACCCCGTCACCTTTAAAAACCAAACTACATGTGAATGTTTGTAATCGTTTCTATGTTATGATGAGCTCATGTATCCATAGAAGATGTTTATTACTGTACAGGTCAACTTTGGAGAAACATACCATGTATTGAATGAAATAAATAACCTGCAGGTGCTCGTAAAGTACATATTCATTTTTTCAATACAGTTGCTACTTGACGCTGTAATAAATTATCTATAATTATTAAAAATACTAAACAAAACATCATCAGCGTGAAAAACAATATAATGATCCACACCTAATTGTTTTGTAACGTTGTGGCAAGACTTTTCTATTGCAGCACACACTACACATCATGTTTACTAGGGTATAAGCTTTAATCCTGCGAACACATTCTTATCAGTGTTTATTCCGAATTTATAAGTTAAGTGTTATAAAGTTAGCGTTTTCAGATTAACCATTACCCACATGAAAACTTAAATTCTAAAGTTTTCCATGTTACAAACGGTTCAGCCTAAGCTGATACATTTCTCACGAATAGGCGGAAAACCATCACAATACATTAGAAACGTGGTAATATCAACACCATTAACTTGAATCCTATTCAAAGCACCAAACACCTCTAGCACCACTTAACTGTTGAGACGTATTATCAAAATTGGAAATAGAATGTGCACATCACCAGCTCCCACAAGGCAAAAATTCAAACTGTACCTTTGTACATATCGTTTACTTCCCATTACAAGTCTATCATTTTCCATATCTTCACCATTGCCATAGTCCACGGCTGCATTGCAAATGTCACGCAAGACATTCAAATATCATATGAATAGCGAGACCACAAAATGATACATTTACCAGAAGAACCCCTTCCCCTCATCGCAAATTGTAATACAGTGAAGTTTCATTTGCTTTAGTTCATGGCAAAAGCTGTTCAGCAACATCCCAACTGTGAAAGAGGTCTGTAAATTATCAAGAATAATCCACACAAACAATTGAATGAAATAAAAAACATTTCCGCAATTCATATGCAAACAAGTGTAGAAGTGACATACAATTGAACTTGTTGCACACAAGGAAGTGGACGTAGATGAAGATTGTTATTTTTTAGCACATGGCATATCTGTGGGTCATGATTAACTTGTGTACTAAGTTTAGTGAACCTAGCATGTATAGTTTCGATCATATGCTGTGGCCAGGTAACTGTCAAACACATTTTGCACTAAGTCATGTTTCCATGGAAACAACAACTAAACAAAATTCTGCAAAAACTTTAATATAGCAAAAGGCACATCAATGGGTAATGATTAACATGTGTGTGAAGTTTGGTGAACCTAGCATGTAAACTGTAAGAGATATGCTCAGGACAAAACCATCAAACACATTTGGCACTAAGTCGTGTTTCCATGGAAACAGCAAAAAACAAAATTCTGCAAATACTTTAAAATAGCAAAAGGCACATCAATGGGTGATGATTAACGTGTGTGAAGTTTGGTGAACCTAGCATGTAAACCTTAATAGATATGCTCCGGACAAAACCATCAAACACATTTGGCAATAAGTCGTGTTTCCATGGAAACAGCAAAAAACAAAATTCTGCATATACTTTAAAATAGCAAAAGGCACATCAATGGGTAATGATTAACATGTGTGTGAAGTTTGGTGAACCTAGTATGTAAACTTTAATAGATATGCTCCGGACAAAACCATCAAACACATTTGGCACTAAGTCGTGTTTCCATGGAAACAGCAAAAAACAAAATTCTGCAAATACTTTAAAATAGCAAAAGGCACATCAATGGGTAATGATTAACATGTGTGTGAAGTTTGGTGAACCTAGCATGTAAACTGTAAGAGATATGCTCCGGATAAAACCATCAAACACATTTGGCACTAAGTCGTGTTTCCATGGAAACAGCAAAAAACAAAATTCTGCAAATATTTTAAAATAGCAAAAGGCACATCAATGGGTAATGATTAACATGTGTGTGAAGTTTGGTGAACCTAGCATGTAAACTGTAAGAGATATGCTCCGGATAAAACCATCAAACACATTTGACACTAAGTGGTGTTTCCATGGAAACAGCAAAAAACAAAATTCTGCAAATACTTTAAAATAGCAAAAGGCACATCAATGGGTAGTGATTAACATGTGTGTGAAGTTTGGTGAACCTAGCATGTAAACTGTAAGAGATATGCTCAGGACAAAACCATCAAACACATTTGGCACTAAGTCGTGTTTCCATGGAAACAGCAAAAAACAAAATTCTGCAAATACTTTAAAATAGCAAAAGGCACATCAATGGGTAGTGATTAACATGTGTGTGAAGTTTGGTGAACCTAGCATGTAAACTTCAAGAGATATGCTCAGGATAAAACCATCAAACACATTTGGCACTACAGTCCGTTTGGCTCAAAAGCGGACCGATGAATTGCAATCTAACTCGAAAACTAATAAACGTAACATATTCAATGAAACGCTGATCATAATCAAAACATCATACCCACTCGGTGAGGTTTTTGCAGAATTTTTGTCGTAAAAATATAAAAGTTGTTTAACAAACTATCATTAAAATATTGACACAGTTCACTGTTTGTTACGAGGGAGGAGTGCAGAGAAAGGGACAGCCAGGTGTTCGAGAAGCACGTTCACAGACAAAGTTATTTATTCATTAACCTGTGCTGTGCCGTCTCCATCCGTTCTCGAACACCTGGTTGTCCCTTACTTTGCACTCCTCCCTCGTAACAAATAGTAAGCTGTGTCCATATGACAGATGCTTCACAAGGTGATTAATAACTGAATAGAGTGGAAATGTTGTTGCTGTAAACCATAGAAAGAATGACATGTATGAAACCATATCTGTTCTTTTATCTGCCAAATTAGATGACATTGCACACATTTTGTAACTCCTTTCACAAATGCAACAGTTACTGATTTCAAAACACACAAATTTAATACTCGGTGCGTTATAGTGTATGAGTAGATTATGCTACTATAGGTACAAGAAACATATACATAGATTGAACCTTTCTCATGTATCTGACCACCTGTGTGGGGGCTAATGGCCTATATACTGCTCGATTAAAGGTATGCTGCATGGACATGGTGATGGTCAAATAAGAGTCAGTTATAAAATGTGCTCCACTTGTATACCACAGACATTTTGAAAGGTTTCCGAAGGCCTTGGATTCAGAGTAACTTCAATTTTAATTTCAGAAATGTTAAATGACAAAGGGTAACGTAAATGTTTCATTACTTGAGCAGATACGAACCTGTGAAACTACTGAGGAGCTCAAAAGCACCTGATAGACCTTGGCTACTGCAAACCCACAACATCCCTGGACATCTTGCAGTTGAATGAAATACTAAGAAGTCTCGTGAAGACCTATATTTATTACAGGTAGGAACTTACATAGTCTACACAAACATGGTCATGCCACCGGCGTCAAAAACTTGATGTGAAACTTGTGCAATTTGACAAGTGATGGGTTCCCCTAACTGAGTTCAACACACGAGTACCACTCTCTGGTACTGATGTTACAGATTTTGTTATGATAGATTTGTATGTTTTAGGGTGCATGCATAGATACATCAATTCACATCGGGGCTCAATGTACTGGGATTATGGGACGTAGTAATGTCTGCACCCAATACATTTGAGCCTCTGTCTGTGGAGGCTGATGGCCCACTCACCCTCAGGCAGCGGAAGTATCTGTACAGGGTGGAGCTGTCACCAAGAGGCTCCAACCAAAGACTTGCAGAAAATGATACCATCTTTGCATGGGAAGACTTCCTTCGTGCTTGTGATAGTAAGTTGAACTAACATCACAAGCCATGATATGTGTTACTGATGGTTAAATGTAGGATATAGCCTTTAAGTGTCCACCATAATACCATTGCAAAGCGTTATTATAGTGCTGAATGTTGTGGCCTTGATCAACAAACAGGTGAGCGAACGTAGTATGAACATACTTGAAGTACTCTAAGAAAGAGCATGTTCGATGGTGCAGGAAATGTTATAAAAGGTATAAACCAAACTTTATAGCTGCTGCATCATTAACAGACAAAGGGAGAACTCATTGTTCCTAGGGGCAAGTGATCCATTTTGTAATACTGTATGGTAAATTGTGAACAATGATTAGCATTACTTCAACATAACATTGATGTTATTTCGTTACACTAATTTTATGTTTTCTTCCACAGGAGGAGATTTGGAAATAAGCATAGTTGATGTTCTACAGTTTTGGACAGGCAGTAGCAGGATCCCGCCCATGGGATTTGACAAAAAACTCTCAATCGAGTTTGTCCCTAAACGACAACCACCACCGTTACCGGTTGCCCACACCTGTGGCCTAGTCCTCGAACTAATGCGTGGGTACGACCCTGATGTTCTGGCATCAAACATGGTTTATGCTATCAAGCGCAGTGGGTTTTGTTTCCTTGCATAGCACGCTTGTCCTAAACGGATGCGGTCGGTCAGACACGTTCACTTGTTTCTTTCATTATACCCCCGCTACAAAGTAACGAAGTAAGAGATATGCTCATCCAGGTTTATGTCCCAATGATCCCTACCAACCATAAGGGCATAACTTGTCCTTCCCATACATGGGATCCCAGGGACCCCATGCAGAAGGCTCCATCCCACCAATATTCCAGCTTGCAGATAACTAGAAGCGTCAAGGGCGTTTACGTTGTGGCTAAAAGCCATATGTCCTGCTTCCCCTTCACAGCATGGGTCACGAATGTTCTTCATAAGTTCCCTGCAAATATTATATATACATAATATATCATTCATCGGTAAATATCTTTAACCGTATGCATATACAAGTACGTGTATACATGTATAAGTATATTACCTATATGGAGTAGGTAATCAGGTCTAATACATATTTGTAGTTTCTGTGACTATACTAGCATCGTCAAAGAGGTAGGTTGTCAAATTTTGAAATGCGCATATTTGCAGTCAATGTCACTAACATGGGGTAAAACCCTGTTTTTAATCAGTCGATGAGTCAATATCATCTGGTCTCTTGACATCACTTTCATTGAGAGAGGTTTGTCAATGACGTCAATGGGGGAAGGGTCAGCACCCACAGCAGCGTTTGTGCAACATGTTGCAGCTACCGCATAACTGTTACTTCCTTTATCATTAAATGTGCTAACAATAGTTTGTTGGAGCATTTATTTGTTTCAAAACAGTACCTCTTTTTTCACAACCGATTCCGTATGGCAATACTAGTTCGAAAATACCCCCCGTCCCCAACCTGCTGGGTGGCGGTTGGGTAGCCTAGTGGTTAAAACGTCCACTCGTCACGCTGAATGTTCCATTCCCCGCATGGGCACAACATGTGAAGTTCATGTATGGAGTCCCTCTCGATGATATTGCTTGAATATTGCTCAAAGCGGGTAAAACCATAATATTCACTCACTCACTCCTTCTCTGTGTTTTCCGTGGTCACGTTATTAATTATCATCATACTTTTGTGTGGTGTGATTTCTTTCGAAATGTTATTCCCACATAAACCACTTACTTTTAATGCAACCTATCAGTATATATTCCTGTAGTTTCACATGAAAACAAAATATAACCTGCTAGTTTTGTATAGTATACCATGCACAGCAAATAATGGAACTAATAAAAGTGTTCCGTTATTCTGTTCCAGGTTTTTTTTCGCCAGCCTTCGTATCGCATTGTGCACTGCGCTAAAGTGGTGTTCCCGTATATTTTCCCTCACTATATATTTCCTAGTGCATTTTGAGCGAAATTGATGAAACTGGTAATTGTCTTTTGATCAAACATTTACTTCATAAACAACCTAAACCTACTAAGTACATACGTGTATATGTTTCCTATTTCCTTCTAAATAAAACAAAAGCCAGTATTTGCTGAAAATCAGGAAGGAAAGTGATTCGATCAAACAACAGTACTGCATTTATTGTCACGTACCCAAAAATCTCTCGTCTTGGACCCCCAAAATCTGCAGCAAGTTCCGACCCCACGTCTTCATTTGAAAATTCAACTTCTACCTTTGCCAAAAAATCAAAGGAAGGTTTGGTCGTGGCCCTCAGAGCAGTGGCTAAAACCCTTTCTCGCTGTACGAGAATACTTTGGGTCTTTTCAGCGTTCACCATGGCCAGTGCCCAAGCTTGTAATCTCCGTTGTGAGGTCAGCCTAATGGAAAACATACAAGAATACATTGTTCTATGCAGTGACTTGAAACCAAAACACACACCTAACTCCTACTACTGTTTTGAAGTAACATTAATACAAATTAAATACTACTTTTCCCCTGAGCGATACAAATATGACCATAATTATGACCGACAGCGTACACACATATTATGTATTCAATTGTTATGTCCTTCACTATCTTCCCTGTCGCAAAAATGTAATGGTTGGGTGATTATCGGTAATGACGTGCTGTGGTTTCCCAGTGAACATGAGACCTAGAATGTTGTTTCAACTACATTGAGATAAAAGCAGAGCTATAATACTGATTAGTGAACAAGAAACTTCACAACCGTTCCATCTTGCACACTTTGCACATATAACATAACTTGGTGACCGTACTGTAATTATTGGCGTTATATTTGAAGTATTTAGCTTAAATGTCACCATCCCTAATCAGCCCCATTTCTGAACACAATTGGCCAAGGCAGTGACAAGTGTGGTATCTTGCAGCCATTTGAGCAGTGGCATGAGCAGAACCATTCTTTAGGTAAATATGTTGTGCCCGTGTTATTGATCGGCACACGTGGGTTGCGGTGTACATGAGATCGTGTCTCATATTAGTCCGTTCTTTATTCATGAAACCTTCCTGTCACCACGACTGGTTGAACTTGTTCGAACATTGAGATTTTGTCTAGCTTGTATTGGCATAGTATGGTAGAATAGAGGTTCAAGTGTTCGCTCACCACTTTTACCCATGTGTTTGAATCAACTACGAGTACAATGTCGCCAATTTCTGGTGTCCCACAAGGCATTATTGCTGCTATTCTGCTAAAAGCCCACCATGTTGGTTAGCTCACTCAGTCAGTATGTCATTCACTCGCTCTAGTTATAAGTTACTCAGGGTATGTTTATGATTTCTATGCATTACTGTTCGAATGTTGAATGGGTATCGTTATGCTGAGTAAGCTGAAGGTCTGCCAAGTCGTCTTCGTCCTCATCCACATCCTGAAACAAAGGATTGCACGTAAGGACATTTCATGTGCTTAACTAAAGTGAATTTAACAAAAGCCAGTCGGTTAAGTAGGTCAAATATATTAAGTACACTTTGATAAATAGTTGTGTATGTTATATATTCATGAGAGTTCTGAATGAGCGAGTATGGTTTCATACCACTTTCTAGCAATATTCCTGCAATATCACGGGGGTGTTGCACACATATCGGGAAACGAAGCCCAAACGTCGGCGTGACGACCTAACGCTTTAATCACTGGTCTTCCCAACCACCCCAGGCCTTCAATGGCTATACATAATCTTGACGCGGCACTATAATCATCACACAGATCCCCCATGAGAGGGATGCCAAGAACACGATATTCTTCCTCGGTTAAGGATAAAGCCCCCTCCGGCCCTACCTGAATGGAACAGAATACTGTACTATAGAATTTACCAAATGGAGGCGCGAGGCAGAATTATGCTGTGATTGCATGAATACCAAACATGCATGTCATATATTATCATTGAGCTTCCGTTCGACTAATGGCCAAACTTGAAATGACCGTGTGTAAATAATGAAAAGGATGGCAACATTTGCGGGACCTGTAAACTATTATCTGCTTACCCACAGTTGTATGCATGGAGGGTAGCATTCAAAACCAATGCTTTAACATTATTTATGATGCGACTCTAACATTTTTCAAGTGATAGTTCTCTCCTGCCCCCCTACAAAACATCTAGTTGGAATGGAATTAGCCACTGATTGTATAAGTTTCATAAAAACAAACAAGGTTTACCCCACTGTTGAAACAGTACCTACATGTTCATAGACCAACTGTATGAATAATAACCACATGATCTAATGGACGGTGACACGCACTGTTGTTCATCAAGGCCGAGATATGCAGTGTGGGTGATAAGGCCAGGTGTATCATATTATCAGATTTTGATGCTATTGCTCTACTTTGTGCCTAGGAGTATTTACGTTGTTTCAGTCCATAATTGTGCAGTGCTGTTGAGGATATACAGAAAGCCTTTCGATGGATGCACGAGGACGACATGGCCGCAGACAAGAGTGCCATTATTGCTGGATCAAAATGAAACCAGGCGAGAAGGCTCATGTATTAATAGATACGTGGATGTATAGATGGGTGTATGTATGGGTGGGTGGATGCACGGACGGACAGAAACATATATACATCGATGTTTTCATGTTGAAGAGGGCACGTAATATGTTTTTTTTATCTACTCATGTTGTAGAGGACTATAATCACTATATGAATCCTTCCAAATAGTTGGGTGGAATTTAAACATCATTGGTACAACATGTGGTTTACTCCGCACCATGCCTTATACAGAGCGATTAAATATCTTCAATGATAATATGTAATGGCAAACAAAAGTACTGGATACTGTACACTTCTGCTTACATATGAATTGCTATGAAATAGACAAGGTAACGCGTGTTGGCAGAAAAATATACATAACAGTTCTTACACCCGCGTTAAGTTCAGCAAGAACAGACCTGATATTGAGAAAATAAACGGAAATGAAAGTGGCAAGCAGAACTTAAGTACTGTAGGAAATAGAAAATTAACCTGTTTTTAGGCTGTTACTCTGTATACAACACAACTGCAAATAGCATATGTCGAAATAACCCACATCGGCCTAACTGGACGTTCAGAGGGATGCGTAATATTATATCCAGAAAAGCATGTTTACTCGCAAAAATCAGGCAAAACTTAACGCTGCTGAAAACGATAGATCAGACAACAGATGGCAATTAGGTCGCTCAGCCAGGTATGACGACGGACCGTCGACTCACCTGGCATGAAATGCATGTGCTGCCTACGGGCTCAAGGGGTCATGTCAAAGATATTTTATGCTTTCTCATGTGTGTTGAATATATCTCATCTTTTGATGAACATCTTACGTGTCTTTCTTTCATAAAGTTTATGTTAAGACAAGAGTATGATACCCATGGAAAAGCTTAAATGAGCCATCGTTATTAAATGTCGCCAGATATATAGGTGGCATGACCACCCGATGATCGACAGGACTGGATATTATTTGTAAATTGTTATGACATGCTGCTTGCTTCCTTGCTTCCCCAGTTTTTTTCCCCTAAAGGATTATCTTATCTCAGTTGATATCTCTATCCCCCAGATCGACCCCAACCACCGTCTGTGACATCCGTCCTGACGCACCGTTTGAGACGACCCCTCCTACCTCTTTCTGTTTAGAATGATAGTGAGACTCCATGACAGCTACATCCTTAATAGGTTCAGTATTAAAGTTATTATTGTTTACGTCAGCTATCGTTTATGATGAAGATAAGTCTAATTTCAGAGTGGGCATTTAAAAGGTGTTCTTTGTGATACAATATCATGGCACACTAATTTGCATAAAGTCATGGTCTGTACCAGTAAGTAGCTTTGTACTTTGACTTTGCTCATTTCCACTAATCTCTCCTCAGTCAAGTCCTTTTTCTACGTTTCCCATGTCCCTACCACCGAGACTGTAGTTAGGCCGAACCTAGTTTAACAA